AGTATTATTTCTAAGAGACAGTCAAATATCACTATTCGTTATGCTCCCAGATTTCAATATTTGTTTCAGTTTCAATTCCACTCAATATGCTTTACTGAGAGTCTTCTATGTACCATTTATAGCACAAGAGGTTAATAATACAATGATGCTTAAGACACAGTGTAGTTGGGAGGTCCTCATAGTCCACTCATATATCCATGTTCAGACTGTATGATCTGGGAAATACAAAAGATTCTACACATCCCTTTGGTTGATTTGTTCCTTAGTCCATTCCTTTGTTGACTGACTTACTCAGTATTTACTAAGCAGAGATGAGTAAGACATACATACTGCATGCTCCCTAGAGTTCATGGTCCAATGAGAAAGACAAATAGGAAAATGGATAATTTATAATAAAACTTGGTAAATGCAGTTACAGAGATATAAATAAAATGCTCTAAGAGGCAAAAGAACTGAGCAGTTAACTCCACCTGGGGGAAACAATACAGGCTCTCCTTGAGAGATTGGGTCTTAAAATATGATACTCCATTAAAATATTAGACTGTCAGTTCATTTAAGGCACATTTCATATACTCCTTAGTTTCCTCCCAACAATACGTTCTCACTATTCGTGTGTTGGGAGATCAAAATACAGACAGATTTTGCGAAGTGCTTGACTATGGACTGAAAGTGTCACATACTACGGTGGTTACTTCTAGTTCTAGTAATTTTTACTATCAGTCTTCTCCTGGCCCCCAAAAACTATGTCCATGCCTGAACGCTCATAACCTGTGAATGTGACATTATTTTTAAAAGGGTCATTGCAGATGTAATTAAAGATCTTGTGATGAGATCATCCTGGATTATATGGGTGGATCCTACACCCAGTGAAAAGTTCCCTTATGAGAGACAGAAAAGAAGGCACAGACACAGAAGAGAGGCCATGAGAAGACAGAAGCAGAGATAGCAGTGGCATGTTCACAAGAAATGCTAACAGCCACCAGAAACTGGAAGAGGCAAGAGAAAGTATTCTCCCCCTAGAGCCTCCAGAGGGAGTGTGGCCTTGCTGACACCTTGATTTCAAACTCTGCCTTCCAGAGCTGTAAAAGAATAAATTTCTGTTGTTTTAAGCCACCCAGTATGTGGTAATTTGTTCCAGCAGCCACGGGAAACTAATACAAGATCTAGTATGTTTCTCTAGTAGCAGCAATGTCAAGAAGCCCTAAGAGTTTAAGTAATTTAACTCTGTGTACCACAAAAAGTGAATTAGATGAACTAAGTGCCACTCCTCAGGAAGTTTCCACACAGAGTCATGGAAATGCTAAGGTGGATGGCAGCATAGCAAGTCTTTGTAGTGAGACAGATTTACATTTGGCTGCCTATTCTACCACTTATCAAGAATACAAATTGGAAAATTTGATAAGCCTAAGCTTCAGTATTCTGATCGGCAAAATGAGAATTGCTGTAAGTGTTAAACAAAATAAAGCACATAGAGCTCTTAGCATTATGGCTGGCTCACAGTAAGTACTAAGTAAATGTCGGATATTGTTTATTACCATTGTGGATACACACAAGTACATGCACACAGCTGAACGCACTGATCAGATAAACGAAGAAGGGTGTTCAACTACAGTCAATTACGAATTCTTTGGATGGGTCCTATTTCAAGTCCAATTTCAAATCCTCAGTTATCTTCTCTTCTTCCTCACTCCTAAGGCACCTACCCCTGCTATCATCAAAAACAATCAACAATTTTGAAATCCTGTTACTTGCCGTGTCCTATTTTTCCCACTAAAGATTGGAAAAAGTACTAAGGCTTTTTAAAGAATATCAAAGTTATTGAGCCCAGGCCTTTATACATTTCTCTCCTTTTAACCTGGAAATATGTTTCTTCTTTCCTAACCACTTACCTCTGAGGACAATGTGTCCTTCCTTCTTTCTCACTAAGCACCAATGCCAGCACTGGTGCTCACAATTGATCACCGCTCTTTATTATCTCATCAACCTCACCACTCATATATTCAACCATTCTCTCTCCAATAGTTTCTTCTCTACACTCACAAATACCTTCTTTCAGCTTTGCTACCCACATGCTCTCAGTTCATCCGCTCCTTGACGTTTTGACTTTCCCTCAGCTCAACCTGTCCCAAATTAAACTTACCATCCATTCTACCACCCAACCCAAATCAAGGCTGAAATTTAACTCCTTTAATTTCCTGTCTTCCTAGGAATCACAGTTTGATATCTACTAATAACTTTGGGGCCTATATACTCACTTCTTCCAGTTATCTGGAACACTTGTCCCTAAAACTTTCACATAGCCGGTTCCTTTGATCACTGAGTTCTCACCTAGACTCCCCTTTGTACAGTGATGCTTCCTTCCCTGGCCACCTTATTAAAAGCATCTTCCTCCTAAGTCACTCTCTAGTTAAAATCCACTTTCATTGTCTTCACAGAACTTCACACTACCCAAAGTTAATCTTATGTGTTTTCTGACTTACTGTCTAATCCAATCTCTTTAAGCTATTTGAAAGCAGAGACCATGTCTGTCTAGCACAAAATAACTGTTCCGTAAACATCTCTCCATGAATGACTTTCCTGGACTTCTATTTTCTTCCACACAACCACAGCTCTTGCTTACCCCCACAGCCTGAACAAGATAAACTTTTGGAGGGAAAATATAGCTTGGACCACAGCTTCCCAGCTGGCCTCCCTGCTATCTCTTCCTCAGCAAGTTGATCTTACATCCTAGTTGCTATCCTAAATCATAGCTCTCATCTTGTCAATTCTTCAAAATTCTTTGATGACTACCCACTGGCTACAAAATAAGGTACAAACTCCTTATCTAAGCATTCAGTACCCTCCTCTGGTTCCACCCTACCTTTTTAAAAATTAAATGCTGTTTTTAAAAATGTTTTTTGAAATAATTATAGACTCCAAAGATTACAAAGAAATGTACAGGAAGTCTCATGCACCCTTCCCTCAGCCCCCAACAATTTTAACATTTTATACAACTCATACAATATCAAAACAGGACTACTTATGCTCTTTCTTCTTCCTCTCTTGTTTCTAATCCTTTTATCGTTTGCATATTTGCTATTAAAAGCTACCTCCAGTCACTTTTTAAAAGTGTATGAAGACATAAATTAATATAGACATAGAGATGAATGAATGGAAGGAGAAAAATAAATGAAATGATAGAGTATTTCATCAATCCTGTCCCAATAAAACATAATCCCTCTTTCCTACATACCTGCACTTATTTGCTGAACTTCTCTTATAAAACCTATGTTCTGCCACAGCCTCACAGATGCATACTTTCTTTATACATCCATTAAAACAGTAAACTCCCTAGAGACAGATATAATTTCTTATTAATTTTATTTCCACTCAAGAACCAAGTACAGTGCTTCTATTAGAGCAGGATCTCAAGTAATATAGAATCTTCATTGTGAATGAATGGATGAATTAAATATCTCTGCCCCAAGAGTAATTAAATATCTCCAACAGTTGGGGGATGCTTCCTAATGGAGGTTTTGTTTGAGGAAATCCTTGAACAGATCAGTAGAACTCAAAAAGGCAGAAGAGGGAATCCTTTTATTGGTAGTCATTATTTAAAGAACATATAAATTGATCTCATCCTTTGTAGCTGCTGGATAATATTCCATAGTACAGATGCACCACAGTTCATTTAACCATACTCCTCTTGGTGGATATTTAGGTTTCTAACAGTTAAGATAAAGTTTGGGTTCATATTATTGAAGACCCAAATAAGAATGTCAAAAACACAAGGTACTTTCTGTCTTGTGTGAAAGAAGCTCAAAAGGAGACAAGTCTGGGTTGATATGCGGACTTAATGGTCTTCAGGCAACAAGCTCTATTTTTCAGCCCCACCATCCTAGCATGTGGCTTCTATCTCCAAAGTTGCTCCATGACCTCATCCAACACATCTAGTTACAGGTAAACTGAAAGGAAAGAGAAAGAATGTAATGACCCAGCTAAGCCAGGTCCCTATATGTAGCCTTCCAGAAGTTTCATACTATACTTCCATTTCCATTTCGGTGGTCAGAACTTAATTATATCTCCATGCTTAGCTGCAGGGGAAGCTGAAAAAAGGTGGTCTTTTACATAAGTGCATTGGTGTCCCAATTAAAATTAAGATTTTGTAACTAAACAAATAATAATGGATACTGGATAATGGATACTGGGTAACAACCAGGAGTGAAAAGGCAAAACTGACATCTTGCCCTGCCAATTAAGAGCAAGTATGCACATCATCCCCTATAGTAAGGAAAAAAAGCATTCCGTCTAGTTCTAGTCCCTAAAATAGAAGAAACCTTGATACTGACTCCCAAACAAATCAAACTTTATCCATGAATTTTGCAATATTCTGAGGATAATCATGTCTGATTTTCCACCATCAGCAGACTAACTGTAACCGGGTTAGAATGTGGGCTTTTTCTTCAATTAATTGTTGTATTTTTTAATGAGCAAGGTAGTCCTTCAGAATATGGAGGTGGACGGCAGCTAGGATTTGAAGCCAGGTTTACCAACTGCCACCACTGGCGTCTCCTCTTCTTCGTTCACCTCTTTAAATTCCCACTACTTTGTCAAATGCAAAACTCACCTCTGAAATAATAGGGAATGAATAAATGAATAACATTTAGCTTTCTAGCCTGTTTCATCCTCTCCACAGCTGCCCAGCTAAAAATAAAAGCGTGTGTGATGGGAATGAGGGAAGGTTGCCCTACTTCTGTCTGGGCTGGACCCGTCAGAGCTCCTCTCTTTCCTTTCCTCCCGCTGAGACCAGAGCCCACTACACAATTTGTGAGGCCCTGTGCAAAATGAAAATTGTGGGGGCCCTTGTTCAAAATGTGTAAGCATTTCAGGAGGTGACAGCAGGGCATTAAACGAAGCATAGGACCCTTCTAAGTGCGGGGTCAAATGCACTGATCCTATGCCTGTGAAGCGGGCTCCAGCTAAGACTGTATTTTTCCTAACATCAGTTTCTGGCTTCGCAGATTCACAGCCCTGCTCTGATGAAGAAGGCTGCTCAGAAGTCTTCCTCCCCACCGACAGTGACTATGACTCCAGCGATGCCCTGAGCCCCCGAGACCTGGACCTGGTCTACCTGTCATCGCACGACATTGCGCAGCAGACCCTTATTGGCCTAAGCGGCAGCGCCCCCGACGTCCTACAAGTGCACGACGTGAAAACCCCACTGGGGCCCGGCCAGGATCCCCAGGGCGAGGGCCCAAATCCCGATCGCTCATGTGCTGAGTTCCTCCATAGCCTGACCCTCACCGGGTTCACACCCAAGAACCACGCCAAGACTGTGTCAGGTGCGCGGCCGCCGCTAGGCTTCCTGGGAAAACGGAAGCCAGGCAAGCACCCCCACTACGGTGGCTTCAGCCGCCATCATCGCTGGTTGCGAATGCACAGCGAGACCCAGTCGCTATCGCTCTCTGAGGGCATTTACACACAGCACCTGTCCCGGGCCTGTGGTCTGGCCCAGGAGCCCGAGGAGGCCAAGCGGCCCGGCCCTGCCCTTGATGGTCCCAGGGGCCTAACTCTGGCCCACGCTGCCAGTCTTCCTGAGGAGCGGAACAGCAGTCTCCAGGACGCGAGGCCTTCGGTCGGCCGCCTCTACGTGGAGCCTTACACAGCGGCCCTGGTGCCCCAGGACGAAAAACCATGGGCTGGCTTGAGCCCGCCCTCTGGAGGCCGCAGCACCCTGCCCAGCCCCACAGGCCCCGATGTGAGCCAGGAGGGCCCCACCGCCTCTCCTGTGTCAGAAATACTCAGCAGCATGCTTTAGGGAGACCTATCCTGGCTGTCCACCCCTCCATCACTACACCCTTACCCCCATCCTGCCCCACTGTGACCCCACTCATTTTCAAGAGTTTTGAATGTTTTAAATCCAAAGGTTACAAGTTCAGGGTCCTCCTTTTTTAGATAGAGTCGGGGGTGGAGGCCAGAGTTGCCAGTGCCATTCCCACTTCAGCCTAGAAAGGGCATGGGGGAGTTGTTGTGTCAACATGGAATACAACATGCAATGACTCAAACATGCCACCCTGTTGGTGGCACCTATGACTGAAGTTGGCCATCCCAAAGAGAGACGCTCTGTTCTGCAGCTGGTTCTGTAATCTGACCCCTGGTTTAGGGCTCTTTCACGAGTTTGTGATTGATGAAGAGAAGTTCCATAAATGAAAATAAGGTTAGCATCGTTTCTCCCTCCATTCCAAACCTTCAGAAGAGTTTGAGGGAAAGACACCAGGTTGTGTCTCCAGGGCACCGGGGTCAAGTGGGCTTGACCTTGGTTCCCTGTCAGCTAAACTAGGTCATTCCAAAGTACAGAGTTCTCAGGGCTCACCTTATCCAGTTTATCCATCAGTACTTATCTGATTAAATAGGCCTTGACAGGCCTTTTTTTCTTCGCATAGTGGTGTGTGGAGACCACCAGAAACAAAAGTAGAGAATTCTTCTCTTTCAGCTCTATCTTGCAAAGACAGAATAGGACAGAAAGTAGCCCTTCCTGTATACCCAGCTCCCATCCAGGCATGAAAATGAACCATAGATTGTTACAGGGGTCAAGGAGATGGCTAAACAAAGTGATAGCCTAAATTACAGATAAGACAGGGGAGGGAGAGAGACATGGGCAGAAATATATTTCCTTTACAATTCTAAGTTAAGCGATGTAAGTCCATGGGGGCTGTGTCTCTGAAAATCATAGTGGATCAGCTCCAGATTCTTTGGTGATGAAATTGTCATTGAACCATAAAGTGCCCTGCAGATATGGCCAGTCAGCAATGGGCTCCTCACAATCCCACAGGCATATCCACTCACCCTACATCATAGATCAAGAGTCAGATTGTCCAGGGCTAGGGTGGCTGCCTTCCCCTTTCATCTTACCTCTCCTTACATCAAATTGGCCCCAAAATCATCTGGCCCAATTAGCATCAGAGAAAGTATGCTCAGAAGCCCTTACCAGTGGTTCACTCCAAGGATGTGCTAAAAAACATCTGGAAATTTTGCTTTGGTCTCATTACCTCCTATCTGAATTTCTTGCAAGAATCCAAATTAGACAAATCACACTGCATATTCAGAAAAGGCACGAGTCTCCTCATCTCCTGGAGCCAAGACCCATTCACTTCACTGACGTTCTAAATGATCCTTTTCTGCTTCACAGGCATTTCAGTTAAATATTGCTCTTTATGGCCCTATCCTTGTCCACAGAGTTCTACCATTCCTCCTCAGGGGAGTTCATACAAAGTCCCCTGTTCACAATGTTATTCTGATCCCTTCCATTTTAAAAACATTTGATTTAAACATAAATAATTACCCTGCTGCAAAGGTACAGATTTGGCCCATGGCCTATGGTCATTAGAAAACTAAAGCCCAGAGCTCAGACTTTATTTTTTTAAGAGATTTTATACTCAATGAAACCCCCAAAGAATCTTGATCAGAATCACTACAGCTCCCTTTTCATGCCTGGGAGGATTTTAAAATGCAATTTTCTTGTCTAAGTGAATTCTATGTGCATGGAAAGGGAGAGTGTTAGAACTAGAAGGGCCCATAAAATTCATCTAAGTCGTGGGTTTCCAGGTAGGGCAGTTAAGACCCAGAGAGGTTAAGTGACTTGCTCAAGGTCATGGAGCTGGTTTAGTCTCAGAGACAGGATCAGAACTAGAATCATCCCCTTTATACCAGGCCGTCCCATTGGGAATTGGTCCATACCTAGTTAACTCTTGATTGTTGTCTACAGGGTGCCTCCTATTTTGTAGATCATCTACCTACTTCTGATTTCAAATTCAGCCTTTACCTAACAAGTTTCCAATATTACAGAGCTGCTTGTTGCCAGGGAATACCAACTTCATGTAATACACATCTCAGTTAATTAATTAAAAAGTAAATTTGGGAAAAACATTTCAAATTATGCCTCCTAGTTAATAACAAGAATGGCAAAGTCATTTGCACTCAGTTTCTACTTATTTCTAATTATAAAATGGATTGTTCTGTTCAATGAGTTTGTGAGATGATATTCTAGGATTGTGAAGAACTAAGAATCCAAGGGATTTCCTGATCCTGATCATTCCGGTGGCATAGGAGGAAGTTTGTGACTGAATCAGGTGGGAGGCATTCAACAAACAGCAGAGGCAGAAACTGACCCACCCTTCGGACCCCTCATTTGGTCGGTAACTTCTGGCATACTGGACCAAAATTGCATTAATTTTAAACCTGCTATTTTATATTGGGGACATAAGGTTATTTTTTCATCTTCTGTGAGGAAAGAAGGCATGCCCACAAAAAGAATAATGCATGTTAGATTTTAACGGGCATACTTAAATCAATTGCAAATGCATTTTATTAGCAATATTCCTAAATAAAAGTGGGTATTTTATAGCTTCCATAATTAGCTATTATTCAGGTAGGTTTCCCCATACCTCCACTTTGCAATATTTTGTGAGCCCAGTTTAAATTAATACATTCTTGTGAGAGACAACTGTGTTCTCTAATTCACAGTGCTTTATTCATTTGGCCGATCTCCTACTTACAGAGACTTTACAATGTCTGAGGCTATTTTGTTTTATTTTATTGTTTTTGTTTTGTTTAATTTTGGATACAATGGATTTTTGTCTTTCACTGTTTTGTTTTTTGTTTTTTTTAAATCCAATATGAGAGCCTCTGAAGGAAACTGTCCCAGGTCTTCTTTTCCAGGGTTTTTCTAACATGCTTGATCGGCTTTCATCATTTGTGAAAATCCTCAAAAATCCTTGATTGAGGTTCTCCCATATGTCTGTCTCGACTCTAAGTCCCATTGAGATCCAAAGAATCAAGTGTGAAACATAGTCCTGGGCCACAAAAAGCTCACCATCTGATCTAAGAATGTAACCATATGTTCACCATACATCTTCTCAACAATCTCTTAGAAGAGGCAGGAGCCTGTCTCCTCAGCCAGGCAGACATAGTGCACGTTGGGCTACATCTTTGATTTCTTCTCACTGTATAGACTCTTGAGGGAGTACAATCTGGAAAATGCAAGTCATAGGTGTATATGTTTGGCAACTACTTAACAAAGCTAAAACATCCTCTTAATTGGAAAGGGTGCCTGGGAGAGAGTAATGAAAAACATTCACTCCAAGGAATGAGTATTTTAAGAAGCAGGTACTTAAAGATGAGAGTCATTCCCTTTAAAGAACATTCACTAATGTTCGAAGCAATAATTACACTGGAGAAAATTGTTTCATTTGGTTTGAAAATTGAAGCAAGTTAGTAATAATATTTCGCCAGTCCTCTTTCCTGAAGGATCCCAAAGCACTTTATGAAAAGCAATGACTGAAGCCTTGTTGTACTCCCCTAAAGAAACCTTGTCCAGGAGCCACCTGGCAAACACCTACCATGTCCTTGCCAGGAGATCATGCCAGACAAGTGGAAAGGAGGACTGGCCCCTCGTTCATTGTTATCCTGCCACACAAATGTGAGCCCTGGTGAGTTTGGAGCTCTTCCCTTGAAGATAACTCTGTTAGACAAGGAGACATCCCAGAAAATACCTCCTTGGTCTCCTCTGGTTCTTCATCCTCCAACCAAGACGTACTTACTTTCTCTTGGAGAACTAACTTAACAGCTTAAGTTAGGTATGTCTGCAATGCATTTAAGTTGCCTAGTTATGTCAACAAGACACAGAATTCACTGACTTCTGAAAATGTACACGTTAGGAAGGTGATAACATTTTTCTACAGCTCTCTCAACTTTGTATGTAGCAGAGCTACAGCAAAGAGTGTGCATCTCTTGGTATATGTGCTTATTAAGCTATCACATACCAATTAGAGAAAGTAGCTATAGATTAACAAAGAACACACTCTGAGAATTCAAACTGTTGCATAGTCACTTTATGAAGTCTAAATATTTTTCCAGATGATTTAATGAAGCAAACCTGGACTTTTTTCTTCAAGGTCATATCTTTAAGGAAATTTTTTAAATAGCTATTTGGAAAGCAATGGTATCTCTTCATGGGTAATAGGGTGAGCAAGGAAAAAAACTGTTTTCTTTGCTGGTCACCTCTCATAAGATGTTCAAACACGTGGCTTATGACTGTTAAGCTAAACTTCAATGCGGCCTTACAAACAACAAGGGTAGTGTATTTGAAACCATGTTGTACCGCTTGGAAACTTATTCTAAGATCTTAATACAGACTTTTTCTGAGGTGTTGAACTTTGCCATTAGCAAAAAGTATTTTTAGAAAAATCCATTGACTGTTTATGAAGCACTGATTTTGCCATATTTCTGGTCTCTGCTTTTTCCACCGCATCTGCACACAGCAGTTATATTTGTTTTTTCAATTATTTATTCTATTTCCACTAATAATGACCTTGTAAAACAGTTATTCAAAAGGATGATTGGTTTTGTTTAATAATTGTATAGGTGGGCTGTGAAAAATATTCTATTGTGATAAAGGAAGTAGGAGATTTGTTGTTGTTTTAAATATTATCATAGAGTCTTTCTCCTACAGATATATACTTTTTTTTTATTTTAGCAAAAGCCAATATTTAACTTAGTGGCAAAAGTTATGAAGCTATTAGTTAAGGCTCTTTGCTCCTCTTCCTGCAGTCCATGACATGAAAGTCTGAATATACTTTCACAGTAATCACCCTCCAGTGACTGATTTTCAAAAGCCAAGTCTGGCAAATTATTGTAAGTCACTCTGAGTTGCTATGTTGCCTCTTGCCTTGTGAAAATCAGATGTTTCGGGGTATCCCATGTATGTGACCACAAGCATCAGTTTGATGTTTGTGATTTTTTAAAACAGTGTGTGCGTGTATGTGTGTGTGCGTGTGTGTGTGGTGGTGTCAGAGAGATGTTTCATAGAAAAAGTAATTTAAGTGACATTCTTATTTGGCAGTATTTAATTGCTTCCTTCCTAATGTGTACATAGCAATCTGGCTGATTATTGGTTATTTGTTCAGAATTTATTGTATCTTGTTGCTGTGTATGCAACTGAGTGTGTGTTAAAGTTTAGACTTCAGTACGCTATCTGCACAATTTTGTGTGCTTTAAACCTCTGTAAATATGCAGATGAATCATGATCATGTATGATGTGTTAAATGTGACTTCCACTCTTGAAACGAAAATATTTTATTGTATGTACATTTGAAAACTATTTGAACAATCTAAATGTATATTGTAAATGTCCAGTACCCTCAGTCAAAAACAGCACTGGTAAAATGTATGCCTCCTCAACCTACCAATTTATAAGAGGTCAGGGATTAATGAGAATTAAGGTAATTTTTCTAATGGCCTGTATTTTTGGTAATTTCTTACCTGCCTAAGTGTATTTTCAAGAAAAATTGTTGACAGAAGAAATCTAAGCTATCAGAGGGAATGACTTTATTTCATAAGCATTAATTATACTTTATGTCTTTCCTAATATTGTTGAAATCTAAGTCAAGCATGAAGTCAAAAAATATTTTTGATTGTTCGTTAGATTTTTTGCTGTTCAAGGGACAGTTTCCAAGCCCATTTGTCTTAACTGTGGAAAAATGTTGATTCAATAATAAATAGAATTCTTAATACTTGGCTTACCTAATGCTTTTCCTTGTCTCAGGAAAGACACAGATTTTTCAGCCTAAGCTTTTAAAATCTCCTCACTGAAACTTTGGAAGAATTATCATTTGTGGCATTGCTTTGGCAATTATCAGCAAAGTCTGACCAGCTGGCTCTTGATTAATCAGTACCATTCAAGTTATTTCTCTTTCATAATTGATTATTGCCAAGTATTGAAAATACACCAGCAGATCGTCACAGCAAATACTCTCACCAAGTTGCACCCAGGAGCTTGGCCATCATAATCTCACATCTTCCTCCACTGCATGCACGTTTAAATGTCTTCGGTGCATTGCTGCATGCGCTGTCCCATCTCAATTCCTCCAACCTTTCTATTTCCACACCCATGAAGCTCCTTCTACCCCTACTCCCGCTGGCTGAGATTTGAGATTTCTTCTGTGTTTGAGAACACTACAAAGAGATTGCTTCCACCCTAGGAACCTGTACAAAGTTTCCCCTGAATTCCCAAGGATGGGAAATGTGCTGCTTTGGACCACGTATTTGTCTTACACTGTTTTACAGAATTCTTTTACACACAGACGAATTCAACTCTTTATTGGCATGTTTGTGGTCAGCTTTCTTGACAGTCTCAGAGGGCTGTTTTGTTGTCCTGGCCAAATATGCTGTTTTCCCTCTGTAAATTGTCATCTTTCTAAGCAAACCATTACTTTCTTTTCCTAATTCTTTCTCTAAATAAAAGTTTACCCTCTTTTTCAAACCAAACAGATGACATTCTTCTCTAATATCCCCTGTCTTCTATGAGCACTCTTGGGGTGGTATTGGAGTAGGGAGAGAATGAGGTAAAGAGTAAGAGGAGGCTTTTCAAATGTAACCTGCTAAGTGAGAAGTATGCCTTCAGGGAATGCCTAACCCTTTTGATAAGTTACACCAAGCAATATGCAGTGTTTCTATCTGCCAACGAGAAATCACTCCTTCTTCTCTATAATAAAAAGAAATCATTTTAGGGAAGTAAGCAAGTTTAAACCAAGAGTTTCTTATCAATTTAAAGTGACTCCTAGACAGGAGAAAAACATTCATAAGGAAATTATCTTACCGATATTATAATGTCAAGCAAGTTAGATCTTTGCAATGATTTTTTGACCATGCAAATGCATTTCCTCTTCAGGTAGCATGTGGCATTCCCATCTTTACATGATGCCCCTTCTAATGGCCTGTCCTATCAAACATTGCATTAAGATGTTTTGCCAAAGAAAGTACTAGTGTTAGATACTGACTACAGGAATTCAGGCACCAGTTCCATACTAGACTAGACCAGATGTTCTAAATGAAAAGCAACTGGCTGCTTTGTTACCCATCACCCCACCCCAGCACATTTTATAGTACCTGACATAAATATCTGTTAAATGAATGATAAACCGATGACCACCAGAAATTGTAGAGAGCGCACTTAAAATCAGGTTAAATCCCATACCTTGCATAATTCCTCTGTAAAGAATGGACATGAAGACCTTTTCACATGCCTACCAGCCTGCAACTCTCTAAAATGGCTCAGATGAAGCTCAATTTATCCCCTCAGGATACCTTGAAAGTATTTCTTTAGGATTTCCTGAAAACTTCCACCATTTACCCCATGCATCACCTCCAGAGTACCTTGATTGGGTGGGAATGTACCATCCAATCTGGCACTGGACCACCTGATGGAAGCCAAGGGTCTGGGAAGAAACCTGACCTTTCTTACGGTGCAAGATGCACCTCCAGATGGCCAGCAGTTTTCTGAGTGTCATGATATCTTGCCGAGTGATTGGGTACCACTGGATTGACATGCAGATCACTCAGTCCAGCCGCACCCACTGCATACCCAGAAAACCTGCAAAAGTCTTGTCCTCGTGCCCAGTAAGGCTGCTTTTGCACATACCATTTTCCTCATCAAGCTTTAATAACTGCAATCTTCTATATGTTTAGAAAATACTTTTCACAAGCACCATCCTTTCTGAGCCTGACAAGTAGCCCTATGAGGTTAGCAGGGCGAGAACGTATATCTCCGCTTTACAAATAAGAAGAGTGAGGCTCAGCAGAGTGAAAACTAGGGCCCAGGACTCCTGACTTTCTAGAGTGCCACGTGCCATTGAGTTAGGTCCTTTGAGAAAAGAAAAAAAATTTAAAAGGCCACTGGAAGCTGTCTCTGTGGAAGACACCCTGCACAGCCAGACATGCAAGGGGACATTTACACAGACACAGATAACAATGGCAAATGCAGCCAAACAGGACAACAAAGCACACAAACCCTTTCCCCCAAGGCAAAGTCAGGCACTCTGTGACTGCAAGCAAGACACTTTTTCTTGCAGTCACAGAGGGCCTGACTCTGAGCTAGAACCTGGGCCTCATGCGAAAGAGTTTGTGTGTCTTTCCTCTCTGAACTTACAGATAAAGATGTCTATAAAATGTGTAACTCTTTTTCAGCTTTGAAATTCCATGAATTTAAAACACACACATTGACTACCTATCAGAGATAAGAAGGGATTCTCAGAATGTTTCTATTTGGGGGATGTGTTTTGTGTTGTTGTTGTTTTTTGGGGTGTGCATAGGTTGCAGGAGCTATGTAGATGACATTGAATCTATTATAAAGAAAGAAAGTAACTGTGAGAAATCTATGCTCAGTGTCCCCAATATTCCCCTGCCCCACAAGAAATCTTTCATTACAGAAAGATTTAGGTCAGTCTTCTGCCTCACCTGACCCCTGTCTCTCTCAGAAAACAATTTCACCTGTTTCAGTTCCCCTCTCCTTGCTGTCCAGCCACTGGGATCACAGTGAATATGGTCTGGAATATCCCTTGGACCTTCCCCAGCATCTAATCTGACACCAGCACCGCCCACCAGCTGTTCTCTTAGATCTTGCCTGATCACTGCTGTAAGATCACTTCCCTGGAGTGTCCCAGAAAGGGTCAAGGCATTGCACAACTCCAGGGGGCACTATTATTAAGTGTGGAATGTGCTCTATTAGCCACTTCCCAGAACCCAGGCATGAAGCAAGCTGGTCCTTTGCCAGACAGCAAGCCTGAATTGGGCATCTCCTTTGGGGTCAAGGGGAAGATGAGAGACTGGTATAGAACAGGGCACTGGGCCCCACCTTATGAAGGATGTTTATCAGCCCACAGTGGGTCTGTTTAATAGCTCAACGTTGGACACACATCTGACTCTTCCAAGTTTGGGCCAACTTGAGCACCAGCTTGGACTTTGCTTGGGCCATTTTGGCTTGGCTAGATCCAAGTGTCAGGCATTGTTCTCCCTCTGCCCTCAGCAGAGTCTGTGAAGTCAGGACATGATCATTCTCTGACAAACATTCAGTACATTTCCCTGGGTCCCAGGAGGCCTGATATTGAAATGTTTTCCTCTCCATAGTTATATTTTCCTTGGTTGAAAGAGTTTTGTTTTGGAAGTTGCTACCCTGTCGAGGTAATGAGTCAGTTTGGGAGGCCGGTGCAGAGGGGAAAATGCACATCATTGGCAGAGGCCAGAAGGATGGGGGTGAGAGAAGATGGGAGATTCCCAGTGGGAGAGAAAGACCACACCCTCTTCCCCCTCCCACCCTTTTAGGAAGAACATGACCCCTCCTTACCAGCTGAGGGCTTCCTCCCTGGGACCAGGAGCCAGGCCCAGCTGCTGCCTTAGGACTTGATCCTGGGAGAAATAGGTAAGCAGGAAAGGAGCTAACATTTATGGGTCGTCTTTTGAGTACCATTTAATCGTCTACCTTATACTTCTTGTGAAAAGCAGTAGCATCATCATCCACATTTTACAGACTGAGAAACTGAGGCTCAAAGGAAGGAAAATTGCATGCCCAGCATCACACAACCAGCCAAGCCTGGAATTCAAGTTTAATATAGGAGTCCAATGCCCATTCTACTACGTGGTCTCTCTGCAGGACTCAGGCCTACGCAGAAAAACAAACCCAAGAAACTTGGGAATAAGAAGACCCTGTTGAGGGACAGCTGATATTATCCGCCTCTGGGCAGGGAAAGCACTGATGGCAGAGGGAGAGGAGGAGGTTTATGGACTTAGGCCACCCTTTTTCTTTGCCTCTAATCTCCTCTCCTCAACTTTTCCATCCATACATTTTCTTCACATGGAAAGAAAAGTCACAGAGATACAAAAAACACACATCAACACGCAAATACACGCAGATCTCTCACACACAACACAAATACACACATCCCTACAAGCACAGAGGCACACACATCTGGAGGTAAATCTCAGGATTCAAGGGTTGGCCTCATGCCAGCCCTGAGCCCCGAGTAGCCCACTGAGGAGCCCTGGTCTGCCTCACTTTGGGAGGTCAAATCAATGAAAGAGCCCTGGTAGTTGAAAAAAGAGAAAGAGAGAAAGAAAGAACACCAGCACCTCTCATGATGGGAGGTCAGAGCGAATGAAACCAGGAGAAGGGGGTGGGGGGCAGGGTGAGAGCAGGGGGGTGGGGAGCCTGGGGCTGGCAGCTGAATTCCTACCCTGGCCCAGCTCCAAAAGATTAAAATAGAGCTCTTAGAGTGTCCCCTCCACAGACCAGCCTGCCAGGGGCCAGACAATACGTGGGTTTGTGCTCCAGCACAGGCCTCCAGAGAGGTGATGTTTTTACCCAGACGGCTAAAGGCACAGAGGCAGGTCTAAGCAATTCCAAGCCTCCTTCAGCTGGCAGTCCCAGAACAGGCCACGGCACAGAGAGAGCGGTCGGCTACTAGGGCGCAGACAGATATGCCCTTTTCTCACCCCAGGGCAGGCCGCTGGACTCCTACTACTTCATTTTATCTACCCCGAAACACCCAACTGGCAGGGCTCTGTGGGACAAGGTCTTAGCAGATTCGTTATACTCTAAT